TGCTTGATATGTGTGTGTGTGAGAGATAGAGAGAGAAAGAGAGACATTGACGTGAGAGAGAGAGGGAGAGAGCGGGGGGGGAAGCAACACCCCGAGATGCCCCATGGTTCCCCTTCCCCGTCCACACCCCTGCCCTATCAGATCGAAAATCAAAGAGCGGATGACACACCGGGGAAAGGGGGGAAAAAAAAGTGTGTGTACCAAAATGCCCTGTCCCTCCCCCTGCCCATCAGTGCCCATGATAAAAAATTAAGAAACGCATCGCACTGCCGGGAAACCGCCACCCTGCCAAAACCGAGGCCCCACCACGAAAGACTACTCTATTCAACGCACGGATATTGATGTGTTTGTAGAGAAATTCAGGCCTCTTTGCTGGCCCCTCTCGCACAAAACGACATGTCCTGTTCCACGATGCCCGTGCCGTGCCGCGGTTCCAGGTCTTGCGTGGGACCGTCCTGTGAGACACAGGTTATACTTTATAGGTGTACAGAAATAGAGATAGAGATATAGATAGAGAATATTAGAGATAGAGATGCAGTCTAGGATTGTTGGTCAGGTTCTTCTCCTCTAGTTCTACTGCTATTTGCAAATCCTCTATTTCTTTGCGACTTCTCGGATGCTATTATTAATCAAGATGTGTCATTCTGAATTTGAACTCACAACCTGTCTATCTACACAGCACTGACAGCAGTACATCTGTGTGCCAGTCAGGACTTGAACACCTGACTTCTTTATCAACAACTATACTAGAACGTGTGTACCTTCTAGACTTCTAGTATTTGAAGTTTGAACTCGCCAACTGTTTATCGACAACAGGTCGATGTGCGTCGTAGTCTACTATTTTAGTATTTCTAGTATTTCAGGATTTGAACTCTTGGTCTAGTAGCTGTTCTAGTAGCTGTTCTAGTAGCTGTTAATAGCTTACATGTTTGTGTCATTCAACCTATAAGGCTACAGCAGCGTAGGTCTCCAGAAAAGCATGCCGGTCTCCCATATGGCCGGCTCCCATCCCACCTACCATTACTGGAGATTGGTTTTTTGCCCTTTAGGGAAGTAGTAGATAAAAATTCGCTTTTCGTTTGCTCCAGATCACTGAACCGTCTTTCATATTCTCCTTTGAAAATGCAGGTTGGTGCTATCAATGAGAAGAAGGAGCTGACTTCGCTTGGGCATCATCTTGCTGCCATGCCTGTTGACGTCCACATTGGGAAAGTGATGCTGTATGGAGCTATTTTTGGCTGTCTGATGCCTGCTCTGACAATAGCAGCATGCCTTAGCTATCGGTCACCTTTCTATTCCTTCCAGCGAGAGGTGAGTTAAAAATGGTCGTCGTCTCTTTCTTAGTACTACCTGTGTTGTTGGCATTGTTGCAGCTCGCTTTTCTTGTTTTCCTGTTCACGGGGAGGGGGCGAGTGGAGCTAGAAGGGGAGGAGGGATGATCAGATCATGATCTCTTTGTCTTGTTTTTTTTTTTTTGTGGGGCGGGGGGAGGGGAGGACGCGCATGGCCAGCAAGATTGAGTTTGTTGTACCTGATTGAGTCCCCTGCCCCCACCCTCAAGGACACCCCTCCCCCCTACCTTTGATTCACCACATTCATTGTAACTCTTATGCTTGCAGGGGACAAGCAACCGGACTGGTTTCCCCGATAACCTAAAGTGGCTTTTGTTTTTAAACTCTTACAGTGGGTAGAACGCAAAGTAAGATAAGCGATTGATTACATAATCGAGGAAAGAAGGAAAGAAAACTTATTCTCCGTGAGATTTCATTACTTTTTAAACTAAATGAAATTTAATAAATCAATAATATGAACAACAATCCAAAGTTTCCAAACTGTTTATCGGAAGGGTTCATCAGACTTTGCCAGGTGGTCACCATTTGTGTAGGTAGCAGAAAAAAATGCAGGTAAAATTTTGAATTTTTGAATTTTGACATTCACTTTTGTCTTTCCCCCCTGTAGTCCAGAGCTCATCTGCTGGAGTGCTGGTACCGTGGTACCCATTTCCTTGCTTGTGTTCCTAACGGGAAAAAGTTGGAAAAACGTATTCGGCAAAGTGCCCACAAAACGGCAAAACTAATCCTGGAATCGCAAATGTGTCTCGTTCATGAGTGAGTGGCTGAGTAGCCATGTTGGTTTATAACGTATATGGTTGTTCGCATGTCATGTCAATATCTTTGTGTGTGTGTGTGTGTGTGTGTGTGTGTGTGTGTGTGTGTGCGTTGATGTCGCACTCTGCCTGTTATGCATGTGGAAAGTTTTACAGGAAATGTCCATCCACCCATGAAACCAGGGGGGTACTTCAGCTCTTAATGTAATTGCAGCAGCAGTGTTGCCACTATAAAGTTGCTTGGCATGGTATAGTCAATGTACTCCACCCATGAAAGCAGGGGGGTACTTTAGGTCTTCTTAATGTAATTCCAGCAGCAGTATCATGTTTGCCAGTATAAAGTTGCTTGGCATGGTATAGTCAATATATGTCTTTATCTTCATTCTAGTTGCATATGTTTTGCTCTCTGCTTCCCTCGGTATAAGGTCCCTCCAGTTCCCCAATGAGCTCAATGCTGTCGAGTTCGCATCCAGTCTCCTACCACTACTACTACTCTTGTTCTCCTTCTTCTTCTTTCCCCTCCCACTGCTGCTGCCTCTTCACGTACTTTCCTCCCCCTTTCCATTATCTGCCTCCCTCCATTCCCCCTCCTCTGCTGCAGTTAGCTGTAGATGAGTGGGCGCTCTACGTATTTGGGGCAACTTTCAGTCTAGATACACCCGGTCGTGGTACCCGTATTTGGGGCAATTGTCAGTCTAGATACAGCCATAATGACCGGGCGCTCTATGCAGTTGAAGATGGTAGCAGAGACCTTCCAGCAGCAGGAACAGTGCAAGAGAAATTGTAGAAGTGGGAGAAGCAGAGGTGTGCTGTCGTTGCCTCTGCTTCTCCCACTTGTATAATTTCCCTTGCACTGTTCCTGCTGCTGGAAAGTCTTTGCTACCATCTTCAACTGCATAGAGGTTCCGGTCATTATCGCTGTATCTAGACTGAAAGTTGCCTCATATACGGGTATAACGACCGGGTGTTCTATTCGGGTGAAGACGATACTGCCGCTTCTGCTGTTTGCTGCTGCTCCCGCCCCGCTCCTCTAGATGCTGCTGCTGCTTCCACTGCTGCTCATACTTCACCTGCTACCATCTTCAACTGCATAGAGTGCTCGGTCATTATCGCTGTATCTAGACTGAAAGTTGCCCGAAATACGGGTATAACGACCGGGTGTTCTATTAGGATGAAGACGCCACTGCTGCTGCTGCTGCTGCTGCTGCTGTTTGCTGTTGCTCCCGGCCCTCTGCTCCACTCAATGCTGCCGCTTCCACTGCTGCTCATACCTCACCTGCAGATGCTTCCCCTGCTGCCACTACTGATTGGTGTTGCTGCTGCTGCTCCTGCTGCTGCTGGTTGCTTTTTGACTGCTACATTGTTACAGCTCCCATCGTCGACAGTGCCATAGCCAGCACCGTCGCAGCTCTACCGCCTCTTTCACATGGACCCACTACTGCCACCATTCCCTCTCTTTCTACTCCGCAGTTTTCACGTGCAACCACTGCTCTTGCTGCGACTCCAAGCAATCTCGCTTCCAGTATGAATGGCCATATGAGTGATGATATGACACTTGTTTCCTGCCCATCAGTTCTTCTGAAGTAACAGATATTATGGTTTGACAGAAGCATGCAGCTGAGTTAGCTTGGCAGGCTCTGGTGGCACCCAGCTCTGCTACCAAGGAATCAGGCGAACAGAGCATCGCACGTGGCGAGCAGTCGGACCATCTAGCCATGGTTGCTGCCTATGAAGGCTGGCGTTCATCACTTGAGAAGGTGGATGATTCTCCCCTTTCCCAATTTTCCAGACCCAAAAAAAGGGCAGAAATGATATGCTTAAAAGGGCCTTTACCCGATATAGGCCTCAGGCCTTGTAAAAATAAAGCAGCACGGGCCTTGAAAAAGTAAAGCATTGTGAAAAGGTATCTCGTCAGAGCTCAGAAACGTGAAAGCAGGTCAAAGGTCAAGTTCTCTATCAACAGGCATATTTAAAACTAAGGCAAAGGGCATTGTCAAAAGACTTACCTGTTCACCAGGAGATGTGTATGTCATGTCTGTTTGGGTAAGGGTGTGTCTGTACGTGCAGGCAGTGTGTCTGTTCGTGCCAAGTAAAGTGTCTATTCA